AGATGGCTCAGCAGTTAAGAACACTGTTCTTGCAGAAGACCTGGGTTCAAATCCCAACACCCATATGGCAGCTAACAACTGTCCGTAACTCCAGTTCCAAGGGATCAGACAGTCTCTTCTGTCCTCCACAGGCATTGCATGACATGGGTGCACTTACCTACATGCAGGCAATACACGAATACACATAAAATAAACTAAATATTAAAAAATAAATAAAAGCACCTGCATGAAGATCTGAGTTCAATTCTCCAGAATCCATGTAAAAAGCCAGACCCATGTTTAAGTCTATAATCCCAGTGCCCCTGGGGAGATGGGAACCAGAGACAGAAGAATCCTTAGAAATTTATGAAAGCTAGCCTGGCCTATGGGGCAGAAAAACAAGGCTCAAACAAGGAAGAAGACAAAGACTCGTGCCAAAGGTTGTCCCCTGACCTCTTCATGGGTGCTATGGTATACATGTACACATACATACATAACAAAAAAAGAAAGAAAGAAAAGAAAAAATGCAACTGCATGCAGGTTCATATGGATTCAAAGTATAGCACAAAGGAGCAAACCCATGATCTCCCCTGTCCAGCTTATTCTACATACCAAATTCAGCTTTTTGCTGATGGCACGAAAATTGCTCCTCTTGGCCAGAGAACTGAAGGCATCAGTGATCTTTCCTGGGGAAGAGATCTGTGCTAGGTTCCACCTCAGGTCTATAGATTGACACTATTATTCTGAATAGAAGAAACTAATACATTCAGCACCCTGCCCCAAATTTCCTGCTCTTGAAGCTATTCCCTTCAGTTTTCTGGAACTGATCAAGATATTCAGAATACCTCTTCTCACCCACTGTTTTTCTCCTACAGACTATCAGCTGCCTACTAAATGTGGTCTACAGAGTGACTTTAGTTTGTAAGCTAGGCCTCAGAATAAAGCCAATTTGACTTACTGAGGGACTTTGGACAAGTCACTAAATATCTCTAAGCCTCCATTAGCTGATAATGAGTACTAAGGAAACACCTTTTTCCTTTTCCTTTTTTTTTTTTTTTTTTGGGGGGGGGTCTTCCTGTAGCCCTAGGCGGCCTGGAACTTGCTATATAGACCAGGCTGGCCTTGAACACACAGAGATCCACCTGCCTCTGCCTCCCAAGTACAGAGATTAAAGGTGTGTGCCACCACACCAAGAACACCTTTTTCTTTGAAGATTAAGTGAGAACTCTTAAGTAAAAGGTCAGTACATGTACAGAAAGTGCTCTTACTGGCAGAAGTAGCATTAGTAATGACAGTAACAGTAAAGAATCCCATCTCCCAACCCTCTAGAGGCTCTGCCTATCGAAAGAAGAACAATTCCCAATGGTAGGGAGATGGAGGCACTCCCTGCTCACCTGCAGCCTTGTCAGTCACCAACTTGCTTACTTTACTCTCCACTGCTGTGAGGGTGTCCCCTGGGGCCTGTTCTGTTAGGAGCCCAGCTCGCCGTAGATTGGAGAAGGTTAGCAGGTGTTCAGGGCCATAGCTCTAAAGGAATTGCAAGTCAGTTACTTACTGAGAGTCCACCAAACAACTAGTACTTCTAGGTAACACAGAGGTGAGAAGGAAAGGAACCCATGGGTGTACTCTGCAGTCTCCACTCTGAAAGAGCTCACAAGTACAGCAACATCAAAGAGGAACAAAAGTAGCAGGAAACAGCCAGGCATGATGGCACTTGCCTTTAAGTCTAGCACTCAGGAGGCAGAGACAGACAGACCTCTGAGAGTCCAACCTGGTCTACACAGAGAGTTCCGGGCCAGCTGGGGCTTCAGAGAGGCCCTGTCTCAAAAAACTTCAAAAAAAACAAAAAAAACCAGGACACTGCTAAAAATTACAATAATGATGGGATGGCTCAGTAGGTGAAGGTGCTTACTGAACAAACTTGAGTTCGATTGATCCCTGTAGAAGAAAACCATCTTGTGCAAGTTAATCTCTGACCTCCACAGGCATGCACAAATGTGCATGCATAAATACATGCACAACCACACAAATCAATCAATCAATAAATGTATTTTTTAATTGTTTTTTCTTTTTTTAATTTTGAGGCAGGGTCTTACTATGTAGCTCTGGCTGGCCTGGAACTCTCTATGTAAATCAGACTGGCCTCGAACTCACAGGAGATCCACTTGCCTCTGCCTCCAGAGTACTACTAGCATTAAAGGTATGTGCCACCAGACCTGATCAATAAATGTAATTATAAAAAAAAAAAAGAAAGAAGCCGGGTGTGGTGGTGCACGCCTTTAATCCCAGCACTTAGGAGGCAGTGGCAGGCAGATCTCTGTGAGTTCAAGGCCAGCCTGGTCTACATAGTGAGTTCCAGGCCAGTTGAGGCTAGAGGGAGACACTGTCTCAAAAAAAAAAAAAAAGATTAATATCCTCCAGCCTTACCTGCAGATACTGTGTTTTCAGGGATCGGTAATCCTTGGGGTTCAAACCTAAGGGTAAAGAAAGGTCAGTTGAGGTCACCTGAAGTGCACAGCAAACCACTCAAGCAACATTTTTTTTTCAAATTTATTTGATGTGTTTTGCCTGCATATGCATATATATATATATGCATCATGTACATACATACATATATGTATGTATATATATGCGCATCATGTACATACAGTACCAGAAGAGGGCATGGGATTCCCTGGAACTGGAGTTACAGGTTACAGATGGCTATGAGCCATCATGGGTGCTGAGAACCGAACCTAGGTCCTTTGTAAGAGCAGTAAGAGCTCTCAAACACTGAGCCATTTCTCCAGCCCCCTCAAGCAACATCTTAATCAAGAGAAAGGACTCAGTGTTAACCTTGCATAGGACAAAGTGGATTCTAAACTGATTGCTAAATTTAAGCTTGCTTACTGAAAGACAAATCTCTGAACCACAGGGTGTTGTGGAAAAGACATTGGAATAGTGCTAACTGTACTGAGAGCATTTGGGGGATATGACAGGAAGATGGGACTTCCCATGCATTCCAGCTAAGTTACAGTTCTTAGAACTGATTTAAACTGACTGAGAAACGGAAAGAGTGAAGATGCATTCCAAAGGTGTGGTTTCAAATGTGTTTCTCCATAGAGGGAGGGATTCCAACTGCAATGAAGAGGACTTAGAATAAGCAAAATATATTTCCAGGTAGAGAGCAACATGGTTCACTGACCATTGTTAAGAGTCAACAGTAAAAACACATTGCCATGAAAGGGTGCAGAATTGTGACTTATGGAAGTGCTTATGAAAACCGCTTGCTTTCCCTTGGTCCTAGAGTGTGCATTTATCTGGAAACCTTACTGAAGACAGGTCAAATGCAGTGATGAGAGAAACACCACTCAGCTCTGCACCTCTGCAGTCCCAACATGAAGGGCAACATGGGGTGGACTGAAGGTGGTCCTGCTTAGGGCTGAACAGTAAGCTACCCTATAACCTGCTGATAATTCACCTCAAACAAGAACTGCCTCATTTTAAAAGGGAAAGAATTCAGTAAATTACAGGAAAACATCCTGTCTGCTGAGATCTTGTCTTTCAAAATCATTTCTTTTGTCCCTGAGGCATATTTCTCAATCTGGCATTTTTGGCTTTGATCTTTCAGGCTCACCATTCTCAGTGATGGACAAAAGGCACATAAGGCGAAGGCTTTCTATAGGTGACACCTGCATGGGAAGAAAGGGTCAAGGAGGATTAATGTTTCAGGACGCATGCTCTTCCCTTCCTTTTGTCTAGGCAAGTCCACCTCTAAACACCATCTGAAGCCTCCCAATCCATCTGCTCACCTGCCGGTCTATGTGTTCTTCAATGTAGTTGGTGCTCTCACGGATGTTGAACCCTTCCAGCAGCGCTGTGAGTAATCAGAGGACAGCCTGTGACCGGGGATCAGCTCAGCTCAGCTGAGTCTGTCTCCCCATTTCGGGTGGGCTAAGGGACCTGCTGTATTCCATATAGTCAACACTGTCAGCTAGAAAGAGCTAAAGAACATCTTTTGGGGGTAGGGGGGCTAGGGCTGGGAGCCAACGGTGTAGGAGCATGAGAAATTGCTTAGCGAGACTGCTGCAGTTACCATGCTCAGTCTTGATTAGCTCCTGGAAATCCTGCTTGGTTTTCTTCTTCATGATTGATTCACAGGCCCCAATATCTACAGATAGGACAAAAAAGGGAGGTGACATTCCTAGTTTTAGAAAGATAGTCCTTGATTGCCCAGAATAATAAAAACCTCATAAGGTAAAATCCAGGAATACTTTTTCCTATTTTAGATCCAACGAGATTACTATCTGCTAGGAGAACAAGGGTCTCTCCTTTTGAGAGAAGGTAATGGCCTCCAGTAGCATTCCCCTGTAAAGCACACAGTCACCTCCCCTCGCCTCCAGGCTAAAACTTACGGAGACTCAGCAGGCGGTGCTCCTGTTTCAGTCCCTTGAGCTCCTGGGACACGAAGTTCTTCATCTGCTTTATGTCCATGCCCCTCCGACGCTGTAGGGACGTCCATCTAGGTTAGTACCCCCTGCGAAACCACCGGCCTCCTTAACTGCTACCCATCCATGAGAAGACACAGACTTGTCATAGGATTAGAAAGGGAACAACCATTCAGGAAATACAAAAGAGGAGCAGGCATTGGAGCCTTACATCATACTGGGCTTGCAAGTTCCGGGCTTTCTGGCTTAAGAAGCCAAAAACATTGGAGAAGTGCTCATTCCGGATCTCACTGAACACCTGTGTGAACAAGGCAGGAACCACTTACTATGTCAGAACTGTAACAGGCTTCTGCCTGCGTTCTGAGTAGGAAGACAGGAGGAAGAGCGCTCAATTGCACTAGCAAAAAATCCAAAGGAAGCCAAGCTGGCATCTATAAGTGGGTGTCAGGTATATCTACCTTATTCTGGGTTTGCTCTTTTGAGTTATTTATTTGCTTTTGTTTTTTGAAGACAGGGTCTTATGTAGCCAAGGTTAGCCTTGATCTCTTGATCCACTTGCCTCTCTAACTCTAAAATGCAGAAATGACACATGGGTGCCACCACGCCTAGCTTGGGTCTGATCTTAACTGATGATGGAAACCCTCCCAGGGACTCCGCCTCTTGCCTAGAGCTGGGCACAGACCTGGTGTAGCAGTGGCCCTGAGTAAATCCCCTACTATGCCCATACCCTCACCTTGTCCTCGGCATTCAGTAGCACCTTCAGGCTCTTGTCAGAGGATGTAACTTCTGGACCAAAGTCGACACTCCCTTTGAGGGCAGAGGGGACACCTATTAGGAGCTCCACTGAGGCCCCCCTCCTACTTATTCCTGAACTCTGGTAATGGTTCTATAGTGTCACCAGTACACTAAATTAGGGTCTTCCCCACAAGCCCTGCCCCCCCAGAGGCAGTATCACTTCCACCTTATCAAGATGCAAAAGACCATGGCACTTACCACACTTGATTCGAAAGGTGTCATCTACTAGGCCCTCGTAAACCACTTGGGAGCAAAGTGCTGTCACAAAGTCCATGTCTGCAACCAAGACCCAACCATGAAGGTCCCGTAGACCTAGCCGTCTACCCAGTTTGCTCAACATCAGCTCAGGAACTTTCCATAGGGCCCAAGTGCCCATGTTCCTAATCAACAAGGAGATTCACAGCCCTAACTTTAGGACCCCAACTTTGCCAACATGCTTTCCATATTCTTGTCTTTTAAGATCCAAGAAAGAAAGAGTGTTAGGCATTATTTACCTCTGTCTAAGAGAAAGATGTGTCCAATCTCTGGTCTTCGACCTTTGGTTTCACTGTCCTCCTCCTCTTCTAGTTTCCTCCACAGATCATATGACATCTGCCAGGGCCCAAGATATTCTCAATTTTGTGTCCAGGTCCTCCTGAAGCCTCATACCTACAGAAGCCAACCCACGGATATCCAATACATGGATACTTCATCTTATCCCCAAGAAGGGAGTTAACTGGGAATAATATGAGCCTATTCTATTACATCTGCTTCCATCCTTCCCATTCCAGTAAGGAAAATGTGCTACTCTGCGCCAAAGATAAAAAGAGATTTCTGGATGTGACCTAAAGGCTCTTGCCTTTCTGTTGGCACACAGATTTTCCTCTCTGGGGAACTATCCTGGAACATAAAAGCAAAGAATATACCTATATCACAGATGCCTAGGGATAATAATCTTTGTTGGGTAAAGAAAATAGGAAATGGACTTTACCAACAATAGTTCTGCTGGCACTTTTACCTTAGCACATCTGCCAATCCCATAGCAGTTTGGAAAGGGTCCATAGAGAGTACTAAGAAGATGCAAAGCCTGAGCCACGGTGTTGATCCAACGCTGATCACCTTCCTGCAAGGACCACATGGATGACAAATACACAGGTCAACCCATCAGGCCCAGCTGAAGAATGGTTAGGCCTAGAATCCCTGGGGTAGAATGGCAGTGTTTGGTGAATGCTGGGAAAAGTTCATTTTATTGGTCCCTGCGGTGGTTAATCCTTACTGTCAACTTGAATGGATTGGGAAGTACCTAAGAGATTAGTAAAGCTGACATCTGGATATATTTGTGAAGGTGTTTCCAGACAGGATCAACTGAGAAGTAAGAGCTCCCCTGAAAGTGAGTGGACTATCCATAGACCGAGTGCCCAGAGAGAACAAGGGGGAAAAAGGACAAGGCCTGCTGCTACAGGCATTCTCATCTTTCTTCCTGGTCACCAGAATTAGTTGCTCAGCTCTGTACCTCCCAGACACAAACCTCTGAAACCATGAGTTAAAATAAATCTTTCCTCCCTTAAAGTGTTTTCTTGGGTATTTGACCACAGTAGTAGCTGACTGAGGGCCTTGAGAAAGAAGTTCCATCGAAAACAACCTATAGCCTTCAATCATCAAATCACTGTCACACAGGGTAAATTATATGGGTTGGAAACAGCCCACTGTACTCTATATATCCCTTGATACGAAGGCTCAGTGGCCCTGTATTTACCAAGAAGTAGTCTCTGAAAAATTCAGGCAGCTCCATGCTCAGCAGATCCACATCAAGAGGCAGTAGGGAGAAAGCCCATTCGTCACAGCTCACGTCTATGGGGACAGAGAACATCAGTCTTCCTGCAGAAGGTCCATGCTAAATGAAAGTCTGTCGTGGTCATGCAACAAATATTTAAGTGCCATACACCAAGCACTAGAGTTAGCACTGGAGACTGAAAGAAGAGCAAGAAACAGTCTATCCTTAAGGAGCTCATAACACAGTTAACGGAAGAAGACATGTACACAGCAGCATACAATGCAATGTGCTAAGTGGTGGGTCTGCATTACAGGGCCAGGTAAGACTAAGTGCTGAGGAAACATTTATTTGCATTCATGATTCAGCAAATACTTATCGAGATGCACCTACATGTAGGACTATATTAAGCACTGAGAAGACCAACTGGGACCTACTCTCAGTCTTCTAGAGCTTATGATCTAGTAGAAGAGAGATACAGCAGACAAATTATGATGCACTAATTTTTAAATTATTATTTTAATATTTTACTATTTTTATTTTATGTGTATGAGCGTATTGCCTGCATGTATGTAAGTGCACCCGTGTCGTGAAATGCCAATGAAGGACAGAAGAGGCCGTCAGATCCCCTGGAACTGGAATTACAGACAGTTGTTAGCTGCCATGTGGGTGCTGGGATTCGGATCTGGGTCTTCTGCAAGAATAGCCAGTGTTTTTAACTGCTAAGCCATCTCTCCAGCCCAGTTATTTTTATTTTATGTGTATGAATATATTGTTTGCATGTACTACCTATGTAGTGCAATACTTGGGGAAATCAGAAGAGGGTGTTAGATTCCCCTAGAACTGGAGTTACGGACAGTTGTTAGCTACCACGTGGGTGCTGGGTACCGAATCTGGGTCCTCTGTAAGAGCAGCCAGTGCTCTTAACTGTTGAGCCATCTTTCTAGCCCCATAATGCACTACTTATAAAACTTGTGTTCCAAAAAAAGTAAAACAGCAAGCCTGGGCTTGGGGTACAGAGCACACCATATATGAAGCCTTTGGTTTAATCCCCATCACAAAACAAAACAAGCCCTATACAGAAATATTATAGGAATTAACCACAACAAAGGGTAAAGGAATGACTTCCTGGCCTGCTTGGGCTACAGAATGAGTTCAAGGACAGCTTAAAACTTTGACTCAATACAACAAAGTAAAAAGAGAGCCAGGGATTTAGCTTAGTGGTAGGGCACTTGCCCAGCATGTGTAAAACATTATATATAATATCCAGTACTGCAAGAACAAAACAAAACAAAAACCCAAATAAATAATGCCAAGCTTGACAGCACAGGACTGTAACCCCAGATGCTCAGGAAGCTGAGGCAGGAAGATCACAAGTTCAAGGCTTGCCCATGAGGCAGCAAGTATAGGAGATAGTTTAGCCTGGGACCCTATTTGGTTTTGGTTATATATACCACCCAACTCTTGTAATAATGCACTTGGCAGCCTACTTCCTTCATCTACATGTATTATGTATACATAGTCCTCTCCAAACAACACTAGCAACCTCAGAACTCCCTCAAATCCCTACCTGTATTGGAATATACAAACTCCCATCTCTGAACAATAGTAGATTTCTCCATCCCTGATAACAGTCAAATTTAGATTAGTTTCTATTCAAGTATATTCCCAATGTATCCAGTATGAAGAACAGAAGCCAATGGGCCTGAACTGGTTTTGGGTGCATGTGTGGTAAGGCAAGCTGTGAACTTTTATGGAGAATCCTTTATTTACTATATTATGCCTATGCATAATTGGGCCTGCATAGGAAGAAAATTAGATGCATTACAGGAAGGGACACACCCAATAGGCAAAATGAATATATCTATCAATCAAAACAGAGAACCACCCAAACTACATCCCTTAATAACCATAACCCACTCTTCCTTCCTTTAGACCCCATAAAAAGGCTACAATTTGCGGCCTTTGAGTACCACTTGTGTGGCCTCTATAATCTGTATTATTGCTTTAATCCCAATAAAGTTCTCTTGCTTCTTTTGCAAATCTGTGTGGGCCCTTATTTTAAGTTCTCTGGATAAGAAGCCAAGAACCTGCTAAGCATAGTGGCACACGCCTTTAATCTCAGCACTTGGAGGGCAAAGGCAGGCAGATCTCTGAGTTCAAGGCCAGCCTGGTCTACACAGTGAGTTCCAGGTCAGCTGGGGCTACAGACAGACTCTGTCTCAAAAAGAGATCACTCACAACATCTAGACTACAGAAGGAAAGACACCACCCCCACCCCACAAAAAAGTAACCAGCTCAAAATTTGCATAAGCTTTGGGTAGGCAAAAATCAGTAGGGTAGAGAGCAATCTTAGCAATAGGATGATGGAAGAGCACGTAAATCCTAAAGTCAGAAGGTAACAATCAGGAAAAGATGTGGCATACCATGAGGCTAAAGGGACAGGAAGGAGTTGAACTGCAGGAGACATGGCTGACCATGCTGAGGAGTCTGGGCCCAAGTGTTGCTGGGGGCAGTTTTAGAAGGAAGAGCTGGGTATTTGTAACACTAAACCCTGACATGCTACAGTGATCTCCGTTGGGGTCCTATTCCCAATCTCATTCTCAGGAACCTCTCTCACTAGACCGGCAGGAGTAAGACCCAGAGAAGGAGCTGGGAAGTAGAAAACAGTGGTTATTCCTTTCTTCATATGTTCTTTCTCCCTTCACTCACATTCAATTCCTCTCACCTCCATAGATTCCCTCTTCCTCAAGCACCATCTCACATGCATAAAACTGAAAGAGAAAAGGAAGTTGATTAGTAACCACTTTCTTCTATTCTTCACTTGTTTTGCTGTTTTTGTTTTGAGACAGTCTCACTATGTAACCCTGACTGGCCTGTAATTCATTATGTAGAGACCAGGCTAGCCTTGAACTCATAGAGCTCCACCTGCTTCTGCCTTGTGAGTTCTGGGATTAAAAGCATGGGCCACCACGACTGGCCTTTTCCTTTTTTGCTGTTTTTTTTTTTCAGCTTTAATATTTTCTTTATCATTATGTGTATGAATGTATTGCCTGCATGTATGTGAGTGCACCCGTGTCGTGCAATGCCACAGACATCAGAAGAGGGCTTTGGATTCCCCTGGAACTGGAGTTAAGGACGGTTCGTAGCTGCCATGTGGGTACCGGGAATCGAGCCCAGGTCCTCTGCAAGAGCAGTCAGTGCTCTTAACTGCTGAGCCATCTCTCCAGCCCCTGTAGTTTTTTTTTTTGTTTTTTTGTTTTTTTTGATGGTAGATGTGATGGTTAATCCTGTCTACTTGATTGGATAGAGAGGCACTTAAAAGATTGGAACAGTATACTTCTGGGTGTATTTGTGAGGGTGAGTCCAGAAATGACTAGATCACGAAAGGTCTGACCTAATCAATGGCTCAATCCATTGATGGATTCGAAAGTTAAACAGACTATTCAGAGGTGAAACTGCGGAAGTTAGGGGCCAGTCAGAGCAAGAGGGTAGCTAGGAGTATGTCACTGAAGTGTACTTTGGGGCCCCAGTCATTTTCTCTGACTCTGTGCTTCCTGGTTACCATGAGGTAAGCAGCTTTCCTACACTATACCTCTGCAACATGCTTCTGCCTTCCTTTGGACCTAAAAGCCATTGGAACTAGTGAATAATGGACTGAAACCTCTGAAATCCTGAGCCAAAACAAATCTTTCCTCCTCTAAACTCTCTCTCAGGTTTATTTGTCACAATGATGAAGTCTGAGTAGCATACTGGAATCAAACCCAGGGTCACAGCAGGTAGCATTGGCACACACCTATAATCCGAGTACTTAGGGCCAGAAAATCAGAAGTTGAAGAAGCCTGTGCTGAATAGCAAGGTCCAAGCCATCCTGGGCTAATTAATGACATTCTGTCTCAAAAAACAAATAAACAAGCATATTATCTGGGACCCACAAATGCTAGGAAAGCATTCTACCTCTAAGCTACTCTCCTGGCCTTGTGCTTTCTATTCCTCTGGAGATCCTCTATGGTTGTACCATGTTTTGAGTATGTCTCCCAACAACTCATATGTTGAAACTCTGAGGTGTTACAAGTGTGCAAAATAATCTAATTTTGGTGTCTAGAAGTAACTCTCTGAGAATTCATTAGGATTAGGTAAGGTCATCAGAGCAGAGGCCCCATGACTGAATACTGGGTGGCTTTATAAAAAAGGCAGAGATCAAGGCACACCACATACTGTCTTTTGCCATATAATGCTCTGTGTCTCCTGAGGATTCTCTGGCAAGATGGCCATCACCAGACATGTTCCATGAATGTACATGAACATGAACTAAAGTAAGGCTTCATAAGTTACACAGCCACAAGTACTTCATTATAGTAACAGAAAATGACCTGAGACAGTTACTGATGGGAAGGACAATATATTATCCATGAAAAAGGGCATCCAGATCCTTAGAACTAAAATGGACCACTAGAACCATCTAGTCCCAAATTTCATTTCTATCAATGTTACTTATATATCATGCTTTTTCATCCCTGAGAACCCGGGAACACTTTACAAAGGAGAAGGTTATTTTAGTTGTTTCTGAGGGGAGGGTTGTTCAGGCAGATCTGGGAAGAATGGTATGCAAGTGCTCTAGAAATCAGAGAGGAACAGGAGGGGAGGTTCTGTTTAGGACAGACCCACTTGAACACACTTGAAAGGTGGACAACTTGGACACACTTGGGTGCTGGGTGTCAATGGCATACACACTGTATTTAAATGGTTTGAGCTGGGCACAGTGACATAGCCTATAATCATAGCACTCAGCATTTGGGAGATGAAGTTAAGAGGATCAGGAGCTCAAGGTCATCAGCTAAATGGCAAGTTCAAAGCCAGCTTGGGCTACGTAAGACCATGTCTCAAAAAATAAAAGAAAAACATATTTATTTATAATATGAACAGAGCTAAGGATGGAAGTCCAGGGCAAACCAAAACGATAGGGGTACAGAGTGCAGAATCTGACAGAAAAGACTGAGAAGGCACACTCAGGCAGGAGCAGGAAAAATAGCATCACTGTAGGCAAGAAGATAATGGGATGAACATGTTAAATGCCAGACAAGCAGGAAGAGCATTAAACAGATACCACTGCATTTGAGTGCTTTGTTTTATTGGTTTGGCTGCTTGGATTTTTGTTGTTATTGTTTTGTTTTTATTTTTTTTAATTTTTAACAAAATTTTTTTTTTTTTTTTTCTTT